CACACACACACACACACACACACACACACACACACACACACACACACTTAGCTTAACAACTTCTGGCTTGAAGTGAACAATTATATGTCATGAAAGCATTCCTTTTCACTGCAGAATCAAATAAAACTCACTGCTACGGTTGAATTGTTTTTTTTTTTTAATGTTGACTAATTGTACAACTAGTAGTGGTAGAGAAATGCTTCGAGAGACATTACAATAACTCATAGAATCATAAAGAGATGAAAGGGATCTTGTCAGTCATCAATTTCAACTTTCATTCTTACAGATGAGGAAACTGAGACCTAGAAAGGTTAAGTTACTTAACCTTGGGTCACACAGCTAGTAAGTGTCTGAAAGACAATTTGAATCTAGGTCTTCTTGATTGACAGGTAGAACACTACCCATTATGCCATACTGCCTAGACTTATTTCCTTCTAAAATTAAAAACAACAACAACCATACATAAGTATATATGTATATATATATGGTGTGTGTGTGTGTGTGTGTGTATGTGCATGTGTGAGTGTGTAAAATATTTAAATGTCAGGGATGGGGATTGTTGCCAGTAAAGCACTTTGGACATTGTGAGATAAATATGTTAGTAGAAGGGGAAAGAATTATCACAGGTGGAAGACAAAGTATTTTTTAAGGCAGCTGAAACAAGATGCTCTTATATAGTGTGTCATGTTGAGCTACTCATAGAAAACATACCTTCCTTTCTCATCAACTGAATCTATCTTCAGTGTGCATTACTGTTTAGTACCTTTTAATCCTTGTTGTTGTTTTTTTGGGGGGGCGGGAGAGAAGCAATAGAGGTAAAGTGACTTGCCCAGGGTCACACAACTAGCAAGTGAATGAGGCTGGATTTGAACTCAGGTCCTCAGGACTGCAGGGCTGGTGCTGTATTCATTGTGCCACCTAACTGGCTCTCCTTTTAATCCTTTTGATGGAAGTATTTCTTGTCCCAGGAATAGCTCCAAACTATGCCCTTCTCTTTGGAATATGGGGTCCCTTACCCCTCCCTAGCCTTTATAACTCTTTGCCAGGAAAAAATGGGGCTCTCTCTTTTTTTATTTTGTTTAAAACAATCAATAGTTCATTGAATTATAAATAATGTAATAATTCGGTGAACACTTATTTAATTAAATATCATCACCCTGAGAAAATTCTGTAGGTCTAGGAAAGAGATTTCTCTTTACTTATAGTTAAATAAGCAAACAAACAAAAACAGATTAGCATATTTGCCTGGGGGTTGATTAATTCAACTATTCTTCTTTTGTTCTGGGAAATGTTTTCTTCTTCCTTGAAGGTGTAAGCTGAGGTACCAAAAAGCATCTGGCAGGCAATAATATGTTTTTCTTGGAATCGGAATGATCCTTGAATGCCAAGAGCAGGTTAGCCAATGACATTGGCTCTTACTCTAGCCCATCTGTCTTCTACAAACATTTTCTTTGACTAATTTTCCCACCTTCTTTTTCATTTCGAAGAAGTTTTCCATCCATATACCATGAGAGGTTTGCCGTGGGGAATACATTCCTCACCAAACAGCTAAAATTTTTCTGCAGCAGAGAGAAAACAAAGAGACAATCATTGATATGTTCTGATCACGTGGGGGTTTGGGACTTCTTGGCCTTCTGGTAACAATCAAACCTTGGCACTTCTGTAGCCAATAGACTTTTCTTCCCAACATCCTTTCTAATAAATATTGGGTGTCCCATAAGACCATGCTGTTGTTGTTCAGTCACGTCCAAATCTTTGTAACCCCATTTGGGATTTTCTTGGCAAAGATACTGCAGTGGTTTGCCATTCCCTTTTCCAGGTCATTTTACAGATGAGGAAACTGAGGCAAACAGGGTTAAGTGACTTGCCCAGGGTCACACAACTAGTAAGTGTCTGAGGATGGATTTGAACTCTTGAAGATGAGTCTTCCTGATTCCAGGCTCAGTACTCTATCCACTGTACCACCTAGTTGACTTTTGGGACACCAAGTACAGACAGTTCCCAACTTATTGATCATTTGTGTCTCCAAATGTTTGCTTTTAATTTGGTTGTTTTGGAATTTGTCATACATTTCTACAAACCCCTTTTCCTCACAACAATCCTGAGGAAGTTCCAGTAATAATTCGGTGAACACTTATTTAATTAAATATCATCACCCTGAGAAAATTCTGTAGGTCTAGGAAAGAGATTTCTCTTTACTTATAGTTAAACAAGCAAACAAACAAGAAAGATTAGCATATCTGCCTGGGGGTTGATTAATTCAACTATTCTTCTTTTGTTCTGGATTATTCTCTCCATTTTACAGAGGAAGGAATTGAGGTAAGAGGTCAGTGACTACCTAGATTACACAGTCAAGTATCAAAGTCAAGACTGGGCCCTTGTTTTGGCTCCCCTCTCCATTATACCATATTGCCTCTCATAAAAGCATATTTAATCCATATTCAATCAATCTATCAGCATATCCATATCAATGAAATAAGAACTAATATTTGTATAGCTAAAAATAGTAGTTTTGCAAGTCCTGGATTTATATTATCTCATTTGACCTGCACAACAATATTACAAAATAGGGACTATTTGTCCCACCCTTGCAGAGGAGGAAAGTCTCAGAGACATTGTGACCTGTCCAAAGTCACATAGGTAGTAAATGTCCAAGACTGGATTTAAACTCAAGGTTTTCTTGCCTGCAATTCTAGTTCTCTATTTTATTCACTATAGTGAAAGTGGTTAAAATGTACAACAGTATTAGTTTGAGAATGCCATCGAAAGAAAGAAAAGGGAGATTTTACTTTTTTTTTTTTCCCTGGTCCAGGGTCATTCCCTAGGTATTGACAGTAAAATTGTTAATGTCAATTGTAATATTACCTGTTACTCCCACTTAATACTAGTAATATCAGAATTCCAGTAATGTTGTTGCATTCCTACTATTCTAGATTAGGTTGAGTTGAGCCACACCCTAAGTCCCCACCCTGGCACCTTTCCTTGTAAACAAAGTCAGCTTGAGCCAGACTACCATCCAAAGTAGCTTCTGATGTCCTTACCCCCTTCCATTGGGATTCATGGCATGAAGGGTAAAACAGCCAGAATAAAGTGGTTTTCCTTGCTCAGATTCCCAAGGGCAGCTGACATCTCATGACCAGGCCTTGCTACCTAATATGACTACCACCTCCCCACCCCCTCCCACACACGCCTCTTGTCCTAAAAGTATAAGAACCTTTGCTGTAGGTCTCCTGGTGGGACATCCCCCAGGATGGAAGGATTGCTACTCTGTTATCTCGATTAAAGACACCTTATTTCTCCACTTATGAGTTTCATTTATTTCAAGACTTGACAGTATTATTTCAAAATAGGTGGTTTGTCTTAGCATGGCAGACAAAACAAAACAAAACCCCTACCACCTCCCTTCCTGAATTTCTCTACCTTCTTGTGGACCTCATCCCAATATCCAAGAGTCTTTATACTGCTTTAAATCCCTCACTGCAGCATCTCTGCTTGAGTGCCTGGGGAGGGGTTAGCTGGGGGCAGGGAAGGGTGAGTAATCAGAGCAATGGATCTCAGCTAGGTGTTAGTAGGACAGCAGTCTGATCAAATGAACATACACTAAGCCCAATTTCCTCATAGACTTGTTTGTCTTTTAAATATTCTTCTCAAATGGATCTGTGATCTCATCAATTTGGAGATGATTTCTTCAATGAAGCAGTTCAAAACCAGCCCATACATGCCCATCTTGGGCTACTGTATATGTTCATCAAAGAGGGTCCACCCTGGAAGACTTCTTCACTCTCTTGAGCCCAAGTAAATCTCTAATTAATGGAACTTGGGACAACATTGCAAAAACAACTCAGCCTTTGTATGAAGAGATATTTTTGATAGGAGGGCCAGATCTCTGCCCAGGAATCTGTGCTAAGAATAAGCTCCATTAAAATATTTCTGCTTTTCATTATTTTAAATTTTTTCCCCCTCTTCCTCCATTTCTGAATCCAAGTATTTTTTACATCCTCATGTTCTCTTTTCCTAATAGCCTCCTTTGCAGCAGGGACAAGGGCATGCCTGGTGCTTATAAATTGACTGACTGACTTACTCTGTAAATCACCAACAAGACTTTGCTGAAGACTTTTTTCTTTCTTTCTTTTAAATTTATTTATTTTTAATTCAAAAAACAAAAGAAGCATTTCCATAACATAGCACAATAGATAAGGTGATTGCACATGAAATTGCAAGTCTACCACGTACAACTTGATATTCCCTTCAAATATACAACAAAACTATGATGTAAATTTCTTTTTCTCCTTTTTTCTTCTTCCCCTCTCCCTCCCTAGAGATGCCATTAGACACAAATAGGTGTGTGTGCATATATGTATATACATAAATTTACATATATCTGTAAAATTATTCTATACATACTTCTATTTATCATTTCTTCCTCTGGATGTAGATAGTATCTTTCTTCATGTGTCTTTTATTTTTAATTTGTGTATTTATAATAGTCAAAATGACTTAGTCATTCAAAGTCGTTGCCTGAAGACTTGGAATGAGAGGAATTTCTCCCATCCTATCTTCCCTTTACTACCTCCTGAGGTAATCCATTTCATGGAATTAGGAAGACTTGCTTGAGACACCTACGGTCAATAGCAGAATTACAGATAGAACCTAGATCTCCTAATTTTGTCTGCTTCTCCATACAATGGACCCAGAGAAAGAGAACAAGTTTTTATATAGCAGCTACTACGTACCAAACACTTTGCAAATGTCTCATTTGCCCTTCATGGCATGAAGGGTAAAACAGTCTAAGGGTGAAGTATGGGCTTCTTCACTAATTATATTTGGCTTGAGGCATTAAGTAATATTAACTTTTGTCTTTTGAAAAATGTCTCATTTGATTCTCATAACAACACTTGGGAGGTAAGTACTATTGTGATCCTCATTTTATAATTGAGGACTCTGACACAGACAAAGGTTAAGTGACTTGCCCAGGGTCACATAGCTAATAAGTGTCTGAAGCTGTATTTGAACTAAGGTCTTCCTGGCTCCACCCCAATGTTCTGTGTGACCTATGCCCCACTGTGTTACCTAGCTGTCATTAGTCACCTAAGCCACGTGAACTACCTATTTCTTTTCCTATCCAGGGTTCATTGTGTTTGACCCCAAGTAGTACTGGTAATGGGAGATGATATATTCTGCCTGTTGGAAAAAAAGAGGTGTCTAGGTTGGGGAGGGTCAACTAAGTGGTCCATGAGCATAGAGTCTGTGACCTTAGTTTAATTTACTGTCTGTCATTCATGAACCACACAGTGATTAATGAGGAGAAAATGATGGCTTGACTAAAGCATGGGGGAATGCCATCTGTTCCCCCTCAGATGCAGCCTCCTCAGATCAGATCTGGAATATAATAGAAGAGCAGGAATAGGAGGTCACTCTGTACTGTGTCTGTGAGGGGTGAGCATTTACCACATGCCAGTCAGGAAGTAACCCTGGGCTCTTGAAATATATGTCAGTGAAGTGTAAGCCCTGTCTGGTCCCATAGAAGCTATAAAGGTTTTGAATGGGGACATTGGCAGGAGTGGGAGAGGAGTAGGATGCTAGGTGGTGAAGTGGATAGAGTGCTAGGCCAGGAGTCAGGAAGACTCATCTTCCTGAGTTCAAATTTGGCCTCAGACATTTACTAACTGTGTGACCCTGGGCAAGTCCCTTAACCCTGTTTGCCTCAGTTTCCTCATCTGTCAAATGATCTAGAGAAGGAAATAAAAAACCACCCCAGTATCTTTGCCAAGAAAACCCCAAATGGGGTTACCAAGAGTCAGATATGACTGAACAACAACAATATTAATATGCAGTTTTCTAAGTCAATATGCAGCTGAAGGAATCTTTATGTACAATTTAGTGGCCCACAATTTCTATTAGAGTCTGACACCACTGGCTTACTCCACCATCCAAACTCTTTATCCACCATATGAGTAATAAATAAAAACAAATGATAATTTCATTAGTTGAATAAACATTTATTAAGGATTTATTATGTGAAAGTTACTATGCCAGATACTAGAGATATAAAGATAAAGATAAAATAGTCTCTGGAGTCTCAAGGAGCTTAAATTTTGTGGGGGGTGAGGAGAAGATATTAAATTATATACTTAGACATATGTCTATATATTTATATTCTTAGATGTATATTTTATATACATCTAAGTGTATATTCTAAATACATATGATATACATTTTCATTGGGTGGATATTAGAATATATACTTAGATATGCAAGATATATGTCAGACTGACTATACCAAAGACATTATTTAAAAAACAAAAGTTAATATTACTTAATGCCTCAAGTCAAATATAATTAGGGAAGAAGCCCATACTTCACCCTTAGGCTACCACTTTAGAGATTTAAAAGCTCTCTGTTAGATTTGAGAAACCAATGAAAAGGTAAAAGGAAGGACAGAGAAAAAATTGTGTTGGATGAAATGCCACTGCTACATTTGAATGTGACAATTTTCTACATCTTGTCAAATGAACATGCATCACATGGCTCATGTGCCCCCATCTCCCACTCATATACAGCCATCAGGTACTTCAGGCACCCATTACTTCTCAGCTTTATTTCATAATAGCCATTTAATTGTTTTTCCTGCTTTCAGTCTCTCTGCTTTCCAATTTTTCCTCCACACAGCTACTCCAATAATCTTTCTAAAACAATTCTGATCATGTCATGCCCCAGCTCAAAAGTCTTCAGGGTTCACTATTTTCTCAGTAGAAAATGCAGTCTTCACCTTAACATGTAAAGCCCTTCATCATCTCAATCCAGTCAATCTTTCCAGATTGATTTCACATCAGTCTCCTTAAAGTACTTTCTATTCCAATGATATCAGTCTACTTGGTGTTCTGCTTTCCCGGCCTTTGTGTAAAATGGCCCCATGCCTGAAATGAACTTCTTCCTTACTTCTGTTTCTTAGGATTCTTTTGAGCATGACTAATGTAACACTTCCTATTGAATGCCTTTCCTCATCACCCCAGTTTTTATATTTCCTCCCTCTTCAAATTACCTTATTTTTACTTATCCAAAGATGCTTTATTCCCCCAGGAGAAAGTAAGATGCAAGAAGGGAAAGCAGCTTTTCCTCTATAAATTTCGCTATATTCATTTTTGTGGCCACATTTTCCTGCTTTGTAATTCAGCCTGAAGCATCTTTTTCTCTATAGTTACATGAAGAAGAGAGAATTTAGTTATAGATCTCTTTCCCCATTGAGGTACGCTGAGTTTTGATTAATTTCCTTTCATTTGATTTTCCATTGTTGAGGGAAAAGGAGGAGTTTGCTTCCTTCCCACCAAATTCCTCCTTGATTTCTATATCCACTTTAAATGTCTTTCTACACCAGAAAATCAAAATACTTTTGTAGGAGAAAACACAGAAGGGTGTGGCTGGGGGGGAGAGGGGGAAACTTTCCTTGCCATTTTATTGTTGACGTTTGCTTCCCCTCCTTTCCACTAGATTGTAAGAGCTCAAGAGACTTTGAGCTAGGAAGGACTTTAGAGGACAATGGTCCAACCTCATTTCACAGACCAAGAACTAATGTCTAGAGAAGGTCAGTGGTTTGCCCATGGTCACACAGGTTTTATTACCAGAGACAGTATTTTAACACATATCCTCTGACTTCCAATCCAGTATACTTTCCAGAGCCATGGTCCCTCTCCCAGTAAGCATCTTGACTACAGAAAAAGTGTTCTATTTTTTTTAAATCCCCCCTCAGTGCCTGTGTTCTTCTTCTTTTTTCAAAGGACCTTGAATATATGTCATAGGCCACTCAAGATCTGACTCTCATCTAAAAACTAGGAAGGTCTTTTCCTGTTTGAACTATTTAAGCTTGTCTAACTTAAAACAGAATTTTATTTTCATTGTAACTTGCCTTTAAAACATACATCATTGATATTATTGATATATTAACAACTCTGTTGGTCTAGACTGATTTCATTCATGAAAGGAATTCCTGGTAGGTGTAGAAATTCCTCACATTGAGGAGTTTCACATTTTTATCCTCATAATATTATTATATAAAGCCAATTATTCTCCTTTACAACATTTCTATATGTGTGTATATACATATATATACATACACATATGTATATATATTATATGTATGTATATTATTATATATAACATATTATATATATGCAAAACAATTTTGGGTAAGTGGTTTTATTTTTTGTTTTTATTTTTTTGGGGGAGCATTGTCAAGTTGAGGTTGCAGAATTTTTAAAAAAAATCATTCTCTTTGGTTGTTATGTTTGAATTTTATCGTGACTCCATATATAGTTCATATCCTGATCACTGTCCCTCTGCTCTCTGCATCAATTTCATTTCCCATCCTTTTTATCATTGGAATACATGGATTTTTTTTACACTTCTCTAAATTTTGCCCCAAAATTGAAGTGAAAAATAAGAACATTCTTAAAGATGATCATGTTGAATCATGAGAAGGGCAAAGAAATGAAAGAACTAGTTGATTGAAAGTCTAACTAGATGAAGAAAAGTGAATAGTTTTTGAGTTGCTGTTCATTGTATGTTTCCTTATACATGGTTTCCAGGGGGCACATAAGAAACTGTGTCAAGTCTACCAGGAGCCAAATGTGTTCATGCACTCAGAGGTGTCAGCCATGTTTATTCTGCTATGGAATCCACTACACTGGTGGGATCTTGGAACTTGGATAAAAGTGTGGGACCCCTCCCTAAGGCTCAGCTGGACAGATTAAATCAAATTTACAGTCAGAGGACCTAGGCTTATAGCCTGTCTTTTCTATTTTCACTCTTTTCCTCTGCTTCTCTCTGCAACTCTTGGGCAGGAAGGAAGGAGGGAGGGAATAGTGAACCCTGAAGACTTTTGAGCTGGGGCATGACATGATCAGAATGTTTTAGAAAGATTATTGTAGTAGCTGTGTGGAGGAAAAATTGGAAAGCAGAGAGACTGAAAGGAAGAAAACAAAGCATTTATTAAGTACTTAGTATGTGCCAGGCATTGTGCAAAGTGTTATACAAATGTTATCTCATTTGATCCTCGCAACAACCCTATGAACTAGGTGCTATTATTATCATCCCAATTTTACAATTGAGGAAACTGAGGCAGATAGAAGTTAAGTGACTTGGCTAAGGTCACACAGCTAGTAAGTTTTGGGGAGCAAATTTGAATGTAGTTGTCCTGACTCCAGGCCAAGAACTCAGTTAACTGGACCACTCAGCTGCCTCGAATCAAAGAAAAACCACTCCAGAACCTTGAATTTATAACTGGATCATTACAGAAGAATCCAAGTTCTGGGATCCATTTACCTCTTATCAATTCAAATTAATATAACAGGAAGAATAAACAGAAAATAAAGATGATGTGAATAAAATTTGGGCTAATGCTTCATTCTTACAACTGGATTTACGTTGTCTTCTGCCAAAATAACAACAGCTACTAAAGCTTAAAATTGCACTAAGACTTTTGGGACACTCAAAAATTTGCAAAGCATTTTGCAAATCTTATCTCATTTGATCTTCACAGCAATTCTGAGAATTAGATACTATTATCACCCCCATTTACAGAAAAGGAAACAGACTGAGGGAGGTCCAACTCTGTATCTACTTCACTACCAAAAACAAAGAATGTAAAGACAGAAACTATTTTTCCGAAAGAAGTTGGAGGATGGGAGGAAAATGACATCCTTTGAAAACATCATCCAGCAGCAGATCTGACTCATCTCTTACAGTGACAACACAGCCACTCTCTTTTCATCTTTCTCAATAATTAATTGATAATAGTATTTAATGCTCAAATCTTTCAGTGAAAATGTTCTTGTTGAACATAAAAGCTTTTAGGTTACTCACCTCTTCCAAGATATCAATGGAGCTGTTCTGCATGTTCATAGAGATTTCTGGTTTAGCTTAAAAGGAAAATACAAACATGATTAGTTGTACTGAAGATCATTTCGTGTGTGTGTGGTGTGTGTGTGTGTGTGTGTGTGTGCCTTCTGTGGCCTGTATCTTTCACCTCTTTATCTTTGATCCCATCTCCCAATATGCTCTCTTCATGACCCTCATTCAAACTTCCTTGATTTCCCTTTTCCCAGGAGACATAAGATTTTAATTTTTCCCCTCTTTCATGATCTTTTCCTTGCTGTCCCACAGGTGCTGACTTTGGCTTCTAGATCCATTATGTCTTCTATCTTTATTTGTCTCATTCACCTGCCTTCTCCTGATACAAACAAGTTCTGTAGTAGTGATAATGCCCAGTTGAATAAAAATAAATGAAATATAAATTTTTTGAAAGCAGAGCATATGATTTTTCAGTGTTTTATCTCAATTACTCAACATATGAACATAAATATTTTTAATCTAATTTAATCACTGCCTCCACTTGAATTCTCATTCAACCCAAATGCATTTTCTCACCCTCCTGTATAATTGCTCCTCAGTTATCTCACTACTCTCCCCCTCTGTTGTGGTCAATGGAAATGACACTCCCTTCAAGGTGAACTCCATTTTATACTACACTTATCCATTGCTTCTGGCTTCTATTTCATTTACTTTAGCATAAATTCACCCCCTAACCAACTGCCCTCTCCCACAGAAAAAGTGACCACAATGTCGACCCAAATTAGGATATTTATTTTGTAAAATCTGATTAAAGTGTATGTCTAGAACTTAAGTTTGCTGTACTCTGCTAAAGCCTTCCTGCCTTGTCATGGTGTAATGATTATCTTTGAGTTCTCGAAGATTGTGACAGTGAAGGACAAACCCTGGAAAACTTTCCAAACCTGGAAAGGCTTGGAGTACGGTCCTGTTGACCCACCCTATGCTAGTCCTGAGAGTCTCAGCCTTGCTAAATTTGGAGAAGATCATCTCCACAGAGTTCACTGCTAAGGAATGAATTATTTCAACCACAATAACTCACAAAGACAGTTTACTCAGACATGGAGAGGGCTTCAGCCTGCATCCATGGAGGGAGATTCCATACTTGGAATTATAGGGTATTAAAGTTTAACTCAAGCTTCTCTTGGCACAGCCAGTTCTAACCTGGAGACAGCCTTGCGGGGCCTTTTGAGCATGCTTAGTTTCCTAACATGGAACCCACTGCCTGTGTCTTTAAAAATAAAAAAGACTGAGCTGTGTACTGTCTTTTCTGCCATCTTTTGGTTGCTTTCTTTTCGCCATTTCCTATCTGCTGAACCCAGCATGGCTTCCATGAACTGAACTGGTAAGAGGGGAAGGAGTTTCCTTCCCTCTCTTTTTTTCTCTCTTGATTTATTTTATTTTTAATTTATGGAATAAAACAAGTATTCCATAACATAGTATAATAAAAAAGATGATTGCACATGGAACTGCAAATCTACTATGTACAACTTGCTATTCCTCTTAAATATATAATAAAGTTATCATGTAACTTTCCTTTTTTTCCTTTTTTTCTTCCTTCCCCCCCACCCCAAGGTGGCTACCATAGACACAAATAAGTGTATATATGTAAACTTATTCTCTATATACTTCTATTTATCAGTTCTTTCTCTGGATGCAGATAGTCCTTCATATATCCTTCATAGTTAATTTGGGTATTTATAATAGTCAAATGACTTATTTGCTCAAAGTCATTCTTAAAACAATATTGTTGTTACTGTATACAATGTTTTTTTGGTTCTTTCATTTTGTTCTTCATTATTTCATACATGTTTTTCTGTGTTTTTATAAGATCATTGAGCTCATTGTTTCTTATAGCATAGTAGTATTCCATCACAATCATATTCCACAACTTTTAAAAGAAAAATCTCTGAAAAATGGGCCTGGGGTGTTTGTTTCTTGTCTATGGTGTTTGTCCTCAGTTTCAGGTGCCAGAGGTGATCCTCATAGGACCCAAGAACCATGGCAACCTTGGAAGTGGGATGGTGCAGCCTGCCCTGTATTGAAGCCCTAAGAAACCAAGGTTCCTGGAATTCAAGCTCAAAGGAGGTTTGGGACTTGAAACTGGGACCATGCTAAGTTATGAGCTTAGTGCCCTTCCCCTTCTTAGAGACTGCAGAGGTACAAAGGGTGAATAGGATCATGTCTCCTTTGCCTCGTGGGAATAAGCTTGTGTATTTGTGATTATATTTTTGGAAGTAAACATTCTTTTGTAAAAGTTACTGTTACAAAAGTGATTGTAGTTTGCTGTAACTGTAAAGACCTCCTCTAATTCTGAGCTCCCACACCTTCCATTCCAGATGAGGAAGATCATTAAACTGGCACCTTCTCTCTGCTTAGGGATTAGCTGGCAATTACCCCAGCCACTCTTACAATACCTTATTGCATATTGTACATTTCCTCTCTCCTCCTCCAGGCCCATCTTCACCTTTGTAGAGAATTTCAGTCCCTGGCTGATGGTTTTGCTCTTTATTCCCTGGCCACATGCCTGTTGTTCCATCCCAGGCTCTATCTGGGGTAAGGAGCTGGTATAGAAGCTTTTAGAGTTGCGGTACAATGGGTGATAAGGAGTGGAATGGGAAGAAGAATAGAGAGGAAGGACTCTAGGGGAGCAAAGATTTGGGGAGAAAAGACTGAGAGTTTTCCAAGATGAGGAACTAAAGCTGGGGAAGGAAAGTGAGTTTTGGTGGAAGTCCTGGGAGGTGGTGGGAAAACTTTCTGGCATTGTTTGAACTTAGCCATGCAAAGCTGAGAAACTAGACCTGTTGTTTAGAGACCAGATATATTTAATGCTTAACTCAAGACATAGGTTATGCTGATCAGAAACCCAGTCAGAATCAAAGATTGATTCAAGGAATGTAAAGAGTTTTCTCCCATTCTATATCTCAAGCAACACATGTTTTCTTTTTTTCTTTTTTTTTGTTTATTTTTCTAGAAACTGCCTGTTTGTTGGCCAATCTATTACTCTTTCCTTGCTCCTCTGTTTGAATCCTATATAACGTATAACCTACAGGCTCTGGGAGCAGTGGGTCACCCTTTTTCAGGTCTCCCCTTTGCTGAATAACTTAATAAACCTCCTAAATTATTTCAGTTCAGAATCTTTTGTTCTCAGCTAATAGCAGCAAGACAGACAGTAGGAGCTTTGACAACAGCAGCAAGAAGGAAGAGTAGGGAGAAGAGAAGGGGATCCTAATTAGTAATGGTGGTGGGCAAGAAAGAGATGTCCTGACATCTCAACACTAGAGAGGTGAGTCTTGGGCTGGGACTCTAGTTCAAAGATATTCATGGTACAAGGTCTATGATTCTAGAGCCAGAAGAGACCTAGTAAAGATCACTAGTCCAGGAGTTCTTACCTTTTTGTGTGTCAAAAGCATGTCTGAAATTCTGGCACCTCTGTGGCCTCTCCCTCCTATCTGATGGTTTTTCCCAGAGCCCCCATTTCAGGAGGGTGCCTAGTCCAGTCATGTATCATTCATCTCCAGACTGTACTCCATTTTTCCTATATCTTTTGTCTTCCCCTCCTTCAGCTTCCATTTATGCATTGTCTTTTGCCATTAGAATATAAGTTCCTTATGGTTAAAGAATGTCTTTCTACTTGTATTTATGTTCCCAGCTTAGCACAGCGCTTGGCACATAGTTAAGCACTCAATAAATGTTAATTGAGTTGACTGGTAAGTCTATGGATACCTCCTCAGAATGATGTTTTTAAATGCACAAAGTAAAATACATAATTATAAAGAAAACCAATATACAATCATAAAAATAAGAAATTCACAGACCAAAGGTTTATTCCTGATCTCGTCCAACATCTTACTTTTAAAGATAAGGCCATTGAAGCCTAGAGATGTTAAGTGACTTGCTTAACTGTGGTTCCTATTGGCTCTTAGAGAAAGATTCCATTCCCAACCCACCTCCTAATTAGACTTTTCAACTCAGCTGGTTAAGTTCAGTCAGAAAGTGAGGCTAAAGGAGCCAAGATCATAGGTTAGGTTAATGCTTGTTAAGATTAATTTCATATAAAATCTATATATAATATATTTCTATGTACATACACATAGACACACACATATGTGCATGCACACACATACATGCATATACATATACATGTCTGCACACACACAAATATATCCTGAAAGTTATGCTGACTCAGTGACCCATTGTTCCCAGATCTGCTTGTCAATCAGTGTTGGGGGAGGCATCACTCAATCTGCTGCTTTGTATTCCCTGATATGTGTTACATGGCCAAGTCACCCCCTACCTGTACCTGGAAATTGTACTCCTTGTTTGGGGAGGAACTAAGATTCAAAGGCCTGGCCTCTTTGATGACATGGACCTACCCAAATTGTTTTTATCTCATTACAAAAGTTATCAATGAAAGCTGGCCCCACCTTGAAGCCATGACTGATCTCCAGTGATCAGCCTGTCAGTATGTTGCTACCTTGACATACTTTAATAAACTCCTTTTAATTTTCTTTGTCCTGTGTTTTGCCTTGTTAATCAGGGTGAAAGCTCAAACAATTTTCCTTTCAACTTATAACACATACACATGCATATGGAAATATATACACATGTATGTATGCGTATACATGTATGTACATAAGTACACGATGTACCTGTACATATATGAGGCAGCTAGCTGGTGGTACAGTGGATAGCGTACTAGGCCTGAAGTCAGGAATACCTGAGTTCAAATCTAGTCTCAGACATCAGCTGTGTGATCCTGGGCAAGTCACTAAACTTGTTTGCCTCAGTTTCCTTAACTGTAAAATAGGGATAATAAAAGCACCTACCTCCCAGAATTAAGGACTGATTGATCAATTGAGGATCAAATTAGATATTTTCTGTAAAAGTACTTAGCACAGTGCCTGGCATGTAGTAGGTGTTATATAAATTCTTATTTCCTTCCATTATGTATGTATGTATGTATGTATGTATAAATGTATATACATATGTATGTGTATGTATATTCTTTATTCTTAAAATGAACTCCTTG